CACCTCATCCCACTATGCACTGTGATAGGTCATCAAGGTTAACCACTCTTTGCTCGCCATACGCCATAAACCCACCAAGCGGTCACGTCAGTTCATTTTAGAGTGGAGGGTGACCATTTTATCGATTGTGAGCCTTAGCATGGGTCACCATAGATTCTTCCCTCGGTTCGACGGTTAAGATCCCGGTTCGCCTAAGATCCCGCATTTCCTTGCTCGCGAGCACCGGGACCTTAGGCGGAGACAACTGTATTATCATTATTATTATTATTTTATTATACATGTATGAATATCAAAGTCCTGTCTGATAGGCGCACTATTGCTGCCCCTGCTTCATAATTATCTAAATTATCTAACCTCCATTGGTATATATCTACCTTTCAATCAGCACGAAAGTCTCTTCTTGATGGTTCGAGACAGTTATTTTAATCTCAGTCACTTCATCTGCAAACTTTTATCTCTTCCACAAAAAGGAGACTATGAGTAAGCTTCCCCAAAAAAAGGCACTAAAGAAAGGGCCAACCCCGAACTTTTAGACATTATTTATTGAAAGAAAGCATGAGTGGTGAAAGGAGATTCAAAACAGAGTGCTAGTGGAAAATTTACCATAGAGGAATATTGAAAGAATGAAGAAAAGAACCTTTATCAGATGCTCATTCCCTTCATTGAAAATTACTTGTGGTTCAAACTGAAAGGCATAAGACACTCATACCCACAAATCACCCAGATTCTTCAAAAACTTTCATGCTACCCACAGAAAAAAGAAAAGTTGAAAAAGGTTGAAGAGGTCGTAACACCATAACAGTACAAATGAAAAATGTGACAAACCTCATCATCAGAATTTGCATCAGCTCTGCGTAATAAACTGCGGGCACGTGATGACATTCGTCTGTGGTTCTTTCGTGGGATTCCGTGTTTGCACTCCGGACAGGCCCTGATGTAGGCTTCAACATCTGACATCATACCTTTCCAGTGCACTTGCTGCTTCTCCAGTTTTCCGTTCACACTCAGCCTTGAGAGGTGTTCACCTAGTCACATAAAAGAGAGGCTCCTATGACATTTCTTTCAGAATGCAAACATAGCAGGGTAGCAGCACAACTATCATCAACTCTGATTTTTCAAATTTCACAAGAGAGGTAAAAAAACCCCGGATTTTTCACTGCTACATCTATCATCAATAAATACAAAATAATCACACAACTCTGAGGTGTTTTTTTTAATGTCATGCACACCTTTCCAGTGCCCTGGAATGTGTAAATAGGTACCACAAACCCCCGCCTCTGCGCAGTTGAAAGTGTGTAGGAAGCTCGAAATTTGGTCATTTTTAATCAACCATAACTCTTCTAATTTGACACCAATCTTCACCCCGTTTCGAACTAAGTCAGTTCAACTATTGTTTTTAGCTAAAATCAAACTATTGAGGACGGCACGGAATGAGATATTGTATAGTAA